TTTTTTTGGAAACATTATGTGTGTGATGGCCATCAAAGCAACAAAACTTTAGAAAAGCCAAATAAAAAGCTTGTGATTCAGTAGTTATCCTGAACCAGAAACATAAGAAAAAAAAAAAACAAAAAGAAGAAGAAGAAGAGAAAGAAGACTTCTTTGGAGACTTCACTTGAGAAATCCCTGGGAGCATCCAACTTCATGCTAGGAAAGTCTTCACGATTGAGGATGGAGGCAGTGGCACCGGAGGGGAGGTGGTGGTGTTCAGATGAGATGTTGGAATTTAAATATTTTAATAAAAAATAATATAATATATTTTATAAATTAAATTTATTATTAACTTGGTTAATTAGTTGTTGGAGGTTAGTTGTCTTATTTAATGATATACTATTTCATAATAATTATTTGATTTATTTTTATCATTAACCTATAAATGGTAATTATATGATTATGAGTCCTATAAATAGAACATTTTTTTTTATGCAACTAGATAAGTTTTTCACATTCTTCTACTCTTTTAGCTTATTTTATCTCTTAGATATTCTTGAGTAAAGAAGGGTGTCTTAAATCAAGTAACTCTGTTAGTTGTGCAAATTTATAAAATGTTATTATAAAACTGTAATATTCTGAGAGTAACATGTTATGTATATTTTTGTTGCACTAAAATAAAATAAACTTTTCACACCTATTTCCATAATACTTTCTTATAGATATTTTTTGATAAGTTCACTAATTATTATTTTTATTTAATTTTGTGAACGAAACATAACAATAACATAATGCAAAGATGAAGAAGAATGGTCGAGGAACAACATGAGGACATGGAGAAATAAGAGGAGGAAGATGATGAGAGTCAGCATTTTTGGGATTCAATATTACTTAAGGAAATCCGGTCATCTTTAATTGCAGCCTTCTTATAATAAAATTGATCAGTTCTACAGTAGAGGGCAATGGTGAAACTGATAGAAACTGAAGTATAGGATGCTCAAAGAGATTTGTAAGGACTTAAAAGCCTTTTGCCAATTAGAAGTTGCTGCTTGGTGATTAAAGAGTGGGAAAATAGGCAATTTAATATAATTAATTAGCTCCTTAAAAATAATACGTCCAGAGAAGTAGGGAACCATCGGAACAGAGGGGTGTTCGCTGGAGACGTTCGAAGGAAACGATGCGTTTTGGTCTTTGAAAGGGGAATATTTAAAGAGAAGATCAGCTTCCCATTTGCGGCCAATGATGTAGTTGTTGAACTTGCACCGCAGTTGAGGACTATGATATCAGTGGCGTTGTAAGGTGCGGCTGTGGTGGATGGGAGGACGACCTGTAGGAGAGAGATGAGGAAAGCGGTGAGTGACAGTAGATTCATTTTGAAGCAGAGCAGTCCTGTACCCTGAAACCTATCTTTAATTAGTGGCATTCTGTATAATTCGGAGATTGTTTAAAAATCAGAGATTAGAATGGGCGATTGACCTTTATCACATGGTAGGACTTTTTTACAGTAGAACTCAACGGTGAGAATGATTGAAAGGAAGTGCAATATGCCATGTGGAAGAAATTTCATTGAGAAAAAGTGAGGCGAAGACCTGCAAGTCTTTGGTTGAATTCTATTAGGCCTGGATCAATGATCCCGCCACTCTAATGCCATTAACATTAAAGTCCCTTTGAATGTCACTTTAATATATCTTTTTAGAAAATAGAACTGAAAATTGGCTGTCACCTTAATTTGTCTTCCTTTTTCTTGGCAAAATCTATTTTTTAATGTGTATAATGGTCATAAAAGCAACAATACTTTAGAAAAGCAAAATAAAGAGCTTGTGATTCAATCGTTATCCTAGACCTGAAACAGAAGAAAACAGAAAAATATATAAAAAAGAAGACTTCTTTGGAGACCTTGCATGAAATCCCTTGGAAGCATCCAACTTCGTGCTAGGAAAGTCTCCTTTCCCTTAAACGAGAATTACGTGACTAATTTATCAGATTTTCATTTGAAGTAAATTTACTCCCATTAGACTCAGTTCAAAGTTTGTTCATCCTCGCCAATCTCAACATATTCATTGTAACTAGTTTCGCTATCATAATTATTGTTATCAGGGTTTCTGATGAATGCATGGAAATGTATATTTAAAGTGTGTTTAATCATTAATAATTGTGGAATTATGGGTTTAAGATTTTTATTTTTCTATAAGTAATTTTATAAATGTTCATTTTATTCATATTGTGCGAATTTTATGATGATTAAAGGTTTGATGTTAAATGGAGAAGAATTAAAAGAAAAGGACTTAAATGCAAAGAGCTGAAAAGATGAGGATCCAAGGATGAATCTGGAACTTTGAAGGCTAAAGTGCAATTTCTCCATATTTGATTTAGAGCAAAGTTCTCGTCCGTGAACTTGCCGTGCCGTCCGTGAAGTCGCCGTGTCCAGCGCAAAGGAATTCCAGTAGCATAAGGGGTTCCGCAACCTATTCCAGGTTCCGACCCCTGATCAATAGGGCACAAAAACAGAATGAAGCAGGGTTCCCCAACCTTGAAGCAGGTTCCGACCCCTCACTGACAATGTTATGCGGGAAGAAAAAAAATAATAAAATTAATTCACCAGGGTTGCTATCTTACTTATCAAACACTTCTATTTTATTCTTAATATAAATAGGAGCTTTGGAAACTAGGTTTAACATCTAGAGAAATAGTTCTTAGACTTCTATATTTCTTCTTAAAGACTAGAGAATTATATTAAAAAACAATTAAACTTTCAATAAGACTAGGAGGATCTTGATTGAGGAGTTTAACTTGTTATTTTATTTCGAGTTCTTCATGAATTTTATTGTTTAATTTTATTTTTGAAAGATTATTAATTATTTTTCAGATTTGAAAACCCTGAAAATTATATTTATTAAATTTCATATAAAATTAGTCATACTCTTTTTATTTGTGATTTGTTAGGATATAATTGATTGATAGATTTATTTTGCGGGTTGATCCTTTACTGTAATATTGTCGATTAGATATATTGTCGTACTCAGATAGCTCATAATGATAAATTAGTTTGTTCTTCATTGAAATTAATTGGCAAAATACCCAAATCCACCCCCAAAGTATAGTGGCAAGGACGGATCCACCCTCGAATAAAAAATGGGGACAAATACACCCACAAAATTTTTGACTTGGACAAATCACCCCAAATTTAACGTGTGACGTCATTTGACATCAGCAATTCGTTAATTCGTTAACGGATTGCTGACGTCAGATGACGTCAAATTAACAGATTGCTGATGTCAAATGACGTC